TTAAATGATTTCTCCTTGGACACTCTTATTAGTCAATGACCCACTACCAACATGTTTTCTCGTGTTTTGTTCTTACATAACGGCACCCTAAAAGATGTGACTCCTAGAAAGACACTAGCACAGGACAAAGAAAATTGCATTTTAATCATGATCACAATTTCTTCACTCAATTATTAAGCATAATCATCTGCGATATTTGCCTGCTGGTTTTTCACCGTGAAACAAGCTTTTCTTTCAAATCGATACATTATCTGCCATGTGGTTTACTTAATCTTCCCAACCTGGCAACCATGTGCACACCCTCTTTCTACATCTATGGGGAAAAAAAAAAACGCTGAAGAGTGAAAAAAACTCCAGCATACATGACAATTGGAGAGATTTCTATAGTGATATTTCACTCAAATAAAAAGGTTCTAAATCTGCAAGCAAACCATGCGAGTTATGATTTATGATTGTGAGATGATTTGTGCTTATGTGAAAGTACAATCATTCTGATGAAATTGTTTTTGAGCAAAATAAACATGATTAACCTTTTATTGGTTTATCATGCAGCCCTAACAGACATATTGATGGTCAGAGCTCTAGATTTAGAAGGACAAATACCATGGAGAGTATGTGGGTTTTATATTGCATTGCTGTAACCCAACGCTCGTGACCTCAGTCTGCACTGCCTTTACAGCTTACAGAGCTTGTAGAACCTTTACAGCTTATATTGTTCATGCGTGCATGAGTCTGCGGTTTCTGTGTGTGCAAATACCTCCTATAGACAAGTTCACCAAAGAAAAACAGCAGTTTCCCCCGGAGGAGTGCTCTTAGTAAGAGCAATGAAATACCTTTGTGCGTCACAAACACTAAAGCTGAACATACGTTAGCATCGGCCTCTCCCAGACTAAATGTTCTGTTTCTAATGGCTGGCCTGTCCCCTAAAAGGTTATTAATTGCCGACCAGTTGATAAGCAGGGCATAATCTGTGGCACAGCTTAATAACAGTCTTATATTTATGAAAACCATCTGGTTGGAGTATTTATAGAATGATATGAAATTTCATTGTTTCTGTCAAGCAGCCGGCTGCTGTGAGCTCCACTGGCTGCCGTCCCACCCGCTCTTGGAAACAGTCTGTCTCTTTCTTTCCCTCTTTACCTATTTATCTCACTCTTTCTCTCTCGCTGTCGATCTATTATTCTCCCACAGTCTTTCAGCCCACTCTCATGAACCTGAAAAAGGCTACTTTTCAATGAACATGGAATTGAAGTTGTATGGCTTGGCTCACCGTCAGAAGGTCTGGGAGTAATCTGGCCAGTGCAATTGTTGTTTAAAAACTTTTATTTTTTCATTTATTTTTGTTTTAAGGGTCATTAGAGACAGTGGCTACAGCCAAATCAGAAAGAACTACCGCCAGAAGTGCATTAAGTGATGTTCAATTTATGTAATAGTACACTGTCAATCTCCAAAACAACAACGATTTGGGATTTTTGTGTTTCTGTTGACCATTCTGATGACTTGGCACAACATATGTGAAAATTGCAATGCTTTCTATGTAATAACAATGTTATTACATGTTAATTATACAGTTATAACACCATTTAACGTTCAAGCTTACATACTATGAGAGTTTAGTTATACAGTCAAAAAAAAACGGAAACTTTTTTATAGTTATCTTTGATTTGCTCATATGTATCATGCAGTCAGAGTGTGATAAATGGGTTTTGTGTTGAGAAGTATATCAGATATACTGTTCCATCCCAGTTGGAAAGGATTATTTTAAAGAGACACCTAGTTCAAGGGTTTAAGGCTGTTTTATGTCACTAATTCATCACAATCATTTGGCCTTTGCACAGTGGCTAAACGTGGATGTTTGAACTTGGTAACACACTTACAAACCAAATCCAAGTTATTCACAATGTCTGGCCAGAGATGTTTCTGAAGTTAGTGCAGTCTGTTCCTGCATGCTATATGCTGACATGCTATTGTGTAGTTTGAGCTTCCTATTTTATTAAAAACACGTTTTGAAGGTGGTGCATGTATTGTTTAAAGTAATTTGGCTCAATCAATGACATGAGTTTTGAGCAGAACATTCTGTTTGGCCAATCAGTGGAAGTACTGTTCAAGAAATATGTTTTAAAATATTCGTGTTCAGTATTTTTCACAGTTACATTTTGTGATGCCAGTGGCACAGAAATGACACTTTCCACCTTTAAATAACCTGTAAATGTGTTGTTGAATAAATTTGTAAATAGAACAAAAAATGGTTTTACAGCTTGATGCGACCGACAAAAACGTTAACCCCATAAAGTCAGTGAATCATATTTGATACACAAATTACAAGGCCTGTAAATGATCAACATGATCAAAACACAATCCTACTACATGCCTTCTATCGTCAGATTGATAGTTTAAACTTTTTTAGCAAGTAAATGGAGCTTTAGTATAATTGTATAATTACATATTGTGTAATTATAAAAATGCCCACTTTAGATAGTGATACACATGACTTTTTGCCATGAAATCTTTGCTGATTTGAATACAGTAAATATACTAATATTTCAAGATGTACACTTACTTCATTGACACAACTTAGGTTTGTGTGATTATCCCTATCATTTTGTAAAAAAAAATCATGTAAGCTAATTATGAAAATATGTTCATCACTGTGGACCTTTTAATCATTTGGTTTCTATAAAACAATTCACATGATGTTGTTTATTTTCCTGGATGTCCTGTAAATAAAAAGTCTATGACTAACAAAATAATGATGACTCAACTGTATCAAGATCATTTTCAGTAAACCGTTTTCCTAAACATGTCTAATTATATCTTCAATAAAGTGACTTTTGAATGCAATGTAAGTTTTTACTCAAGGTGCTTCCTTTCTGTGCATGAGAGAGAGAGAGATACGTGTGTTTTTTAGATGTAATAGTGTGGGTGGAGTATGTGAAAGTGTGCATGTGTGTGTGTAAGGTGTGTGTATGTGTCAGACAGACTACAAGGCAAGAAAGAGATAGAGAGAGAGAGAAGTGTGCTCGGGCAGCACCAGACTGGATGGAGAGCGGCGTGTTTGTGTTGGAGCTGTTAGCTGCATATTTGGACCACATGTGCTCTGAGTTTGGGAGTAACAGGCCAAATGAAAGGCACATTGTACCCCAGAACTGCAGCGTCTGCACTTGTGCCCATGGAAAGCAACCAGCTCGTGCACAGAGAGAATTACAAAAAAAACAGACTTGGAGTGACAAAACTCCAGATGGAAATCAATATCATTAGTCAGGCAGACACGCCAGTTCTGGAGCTGCGGCTGCTGGATCTGTCATGTGCAAAGCTGCGGTTGTAAACTGATTTTCAATTGTTTTATGTGAGCTGGTGAGAGCGAAGAGAGTAAAGTGTTATTCCTCCGGAGCTTACTGCGACCGTATTTTTGTGCTGAACGGTAAAATGCCTGAGGTTACGACTAAGTCTGCGTAAATGCTCTGAAAATGTATGGTTTGTCTTAAAGTCGAATATAGTTTCACATTTAGTGCATGTAAATAGTTAATTCAGCCTGCAGTTCCGTGTTCGGTCAGATGGGGGTGATAATGAGCCGTGATCTGTGCTCTCGGTAGGCAGCTAGACGCTTCACACTTTCCCTTTGTGTCTTCCATGTAGCGCTTTCAGGTTCTGAGAACACGAGAGCACTTCACAACAAAAAAACCCAAACCACACATGTTCTCCCTGCTGCGTCTCTGCACATTTTTTGAGTCTCTGCCAGCCACTTTCAGACGTTTCTCCTCCCCGAGCAGAGCTAGTTGTCACTTCAGAATGAAGCGTGCATTGAGCAAAAAAGTTTGTGCTCAAGATGCTCCGGACACGTTAGAATGTTCTTTCTCTTTATTAAAGCATGAGTGAACTTCATTGGTTGACACATCTGTGTACGGCATGTGATTGTTGCTTGTTTCCGCTTTCATTTACAGCACATACAGTAAAACAATTTACATTTTGTGCCTCCTGAAGGTTTAATAAGACATGTACTGATACAGTGAACAGTGAGCACTGACAGTACACTCTCAGAAAATAAGGTACAAAAGCTGTCACTGGGGCAGTACCTTTGAAAAAAGTACACCTTTGTACCTTATTTCCTCCTAAAGAGTGCATATAAGTACCTTAAAGGAACATATTAGTACATAAATTATACTTTTTCTGGCTATTGTTGAAAAATGGTCCCAAACTCGAGCCATAGGTTGACTGTGCTGTTGCATTTGACTGGTCGGGATGCTCGAACAAACCGATTAGAAAAATGAATGGTTTAAATTAAATGTTTATCACTCTTGTATTTAGGATTTAAATCAACATTTTTTTTTTTTCACTTACTTTGAACCTGCTGATGGTGGCAGTCTTCATAAGAAGAAAGGCCATTGTTGAAAAATGGTCCCAAACTCGAGCCATAGGTTGACTGTGCTGTTGCATTTGACTGGTCGGGATGCTCGAACAAACCGATTAGAAAAATGAATGGTTTAAATTAAATGTTTATCACTCTTGTATTTAGGATTTAAATCAACATTTTTTTTTTTTTCACTTACTTTGAACCTGCTGATGGTGGCAGTCTTCATAAGAAGAAAGGCAGATTTGAATGTGGACAAACAGTACTTGTTAATAACAAATGTATGTACTTGTTAATAATGAAATATATAGATTTTTATTCAAATCCAGAGATATGTGGCTCTATAGTCAGTAACCTGGATTCACTGTAAACCTTCTGGGGGAAAATAATAATAATAATAATAATAATAGTATTATATACTGTATATATATATATATATAAGCACACACATTGATGAGACATTATTTAAAATATTGTAATTTTGACTTGACGAAGGCAAGTCTTGATTTAATTTTTGGGTGAACTGTCTTTTTAACATTTCTCTGTTTCTCTTTCTCATCCTCACTTGTTTCTTTTCTGAAATCACATCACGTCTGATTGCCTCTATCAGTTTTAGTGCTCCACCTTCTTGGTATCTTTGTTCAGTGGTTTTTAGAGCCATGGGAAAAAAGCGTCCTCACTCGTATGACTTCTCAACGACCCGGAACAGCGTCTGTAATCTGCGTGGCTCCACGGCCCTAAAACAACCCCGGCCGTCCTGCACAAATACGCCTCTCTGCTTGACCAGACGAGGGCCGATGGAAACACCCACCCTATTAAAAGCCATAGATTTCAAATATGACCAGCCATCTTTGCCAGCTTATCATTCAAACAGTGAATCTACCACACCCTTCCAAACACAGATTCTCAAACCTCCGCGAGTCTGCTGAGAACCAGATTTCATTTCTTTATCAAAGCCGGAGAGATTTGTTGAAAGAGTGTATTTGGAAATGATCACCTCGAGGCACGTGTGATAAATTGCATTGGACGAGTGGATAAGATTTAGTCCAAATGAAATTTGAGTAACAGCGTGCATGATAAAATGAAGAAGACTACTAACGTTTCTTGTGCTGGAGGCTCTGTTGTCCAGATGTGAACTGTAATTGTGCTGAACTTGTAATTTCAACATCTTATACATTGCACATTGATTGCATTTCTACTGAAGGATAAGAAGAAAATCAAGCTGCGACACTAAATTTAATCAAGCATTTGATTTTGGCCAAGTACATTTGTGGAACACAAATTACAAATAATCCAGCACACAAAAACCTGGTTTGTGACGTCCACATGAGCTCTGCCAAAATATTCAGGGGGAAAAGGTTTTCATATTTACAGTGCAATCATATACACTACCAGTCAAGTTTGGAATAATTGCAATTTTTATTATTATTATTATTATTATTATTATTGTTATTGTTGTTGTTGTTGTCATTATTATTATTATTATTTTAACACGCTGCTTATGCTCACCAAGGCTGCATTTATTTCTGGAAAAACTGTAAATCTGTGAAATATTATACATTAAAATAACTTTTTTTTTCTATTTAAGTATATAGATTAAAATGCCATTTATTCCTGTGATACAAAGCTCAATTTTCAGCATCATTACTCCAGGCTTCCGTGTCACATGATCCTTCAGAAATCATTCTAATATGCAGATTCAGAGTGGAATTATTATCAATTATTATTGGTGCTCAGTTGTTAATAATAATATTAATAATAATAATTATTATTATGATTATGCTTTTTTGGGGGACTATTATTATTATTATTATTATGCTTTTTGGGAGGATTCTTTGATGAATAGAACGTTCAAAAGAACAGCATTTATTTAAAATATATATAAATATTTGTAGCATACATGTCTTTACTTTTAATATTTAATCAATTGAATGCATCCTTGCTGAAGAAAATATTTTATTTTATTCTTAAATCTGAAGCCCGGAGTAATGATGCTGAAAATTCAGCATTGATCACATGAATAAATTACATTTTAACATATATTCAAAAAGAAAACAGTTATATTGTAAACATATTTCAAAATATTACTGATTCCACTCAATATAATATAACTATAATATAACTCAATACAATATAACTCTCCCACCACCTCTACTCCGTGTGTTTCTCTGCACAGGCCCGGTGCACCCAGGACGCGATCTTCCCAGATGTCCTTCACTCTTAAAAGCGCTATATAAATAAAGGTGACTTGACTTGACTTACTGATTGTATTTTTGATCAAATAAATGCAGCTGTGGTGAGCATTAAAAAAGGAGAATCTTTTGAACAGTTATTATTCAAGTTATTTATAGCATATAATATAATGCCATATCAAAATTTTATTGAATGAGCTTTACACTTCTTTTCGTTTACCACACACACTTATTTAATAAAATTGCAAGCGGAAATACAATACAATATGTTAGCTCAGGTCCATTAAATGATCAGATTAATAAATGTTTTATAAGATCAATAATCACATTTTTCATTGATAGTTCATGTTAACTAATAAAACCTTACTGTAACTGTTGCCATAAGTCAGGGGTGTCCAATCTATTTTTTTTATGGGGGCCAGATAAAGGGTACAATTGTGATCATTATAATTAGTATAAATTTAGTATACATAGAAATACACACAACTGCTTATAACAAAAATGTCTGTAATTTGGCCTATATTTCAATACCGCCTTAATACATTCAATAGGCCTACGTGTCTACATTAATAGTACAATACAATGCCATATGATTTCTGCCACAATACCACAGTTACAGTTTGTGTTAATATAGTACATTCCTTGTGAATGCTGTTGATTTGTGGATTGTAAAGTATTCTAACTGTATTGTTGTCGCACAATGTTTCTCCTGTTTTCTGCGTCAGTGCTGTTTCATCTGCAACCCACATCTGTGCTTTTTATCGGAGACCTCTGCGTTAAATTCGAACGCTTCTCACTGGATCTCACAGTGCTGTTTAGTGATTGCGTAATCAAACCAGCTCATCAGCGAGTAAATGCATTTGTTCTGAGCTCGCGCTGCGCTGTATTTTGTGCAGAGCTAATAAAAGTCCATGCGGCGTGCTTCAAACAAGTAGCGCTGTTCTGCTTTGGTGTGTTTATGCGCTAAAGAAATGACAGCGCATTCGAGTTTTACTGCTACATCTGGCCTAAAATCTAGTGCTGTGACCTTGTGTTGACATTGTGAAATTCCATGGGCCACATATAATATATTTTAATAGACAAGCTGCAGGCCAGATTTTGGACACCTCTGCCATAAGTAATAAAAAAGGCATCATTTCTGTTTCAGGCGTTAGATACCTGTGATGTCACACAGCTTATTGACCATTAAATTCCCATCTGAAATCTGAAAAGCCATCTGTGACAGCCGAGCTCAGTGTTATGAAATCAGTGCGTGTTCATGTGGTGATGTTTGACATACTCAGCTCTTCCTCAGCTGCCCATGAGAACTCACTTCAAGCAGAGCGAGGCTCTTATTAGCATGGTGAGGCCATGAGGACATTGATGTAAAGTTCAGCTGGAGTTTAACCAATGTTTCCACAGTGTGTCTGTGCGAATGAGATTCACCCCGAGGGGGAGCTGAGCTCAGGGACTGAGCCAGTGAGAGACAGAGCGCGGTGTCCCGCCGGACGACTTCCTGTTAGAGGGGTCTTCTCATGGCTGTAACATGATCCCTCCTTCCGAAAATAAAGACGGACACGGCAGGAGCTGATGGGTGCACAGCGAAGCCGTAACACTGGCCAGTTCCTGCCTAACAAGCGGTCAGATTTTGCAGATGTAAGGGTTCAAAATGACTATCACAGCCACGAGTTTAGTTTTTAGTTTAATGTGTATACACTTTTGGCCAAAAATATATATTTTTCATAAAATAAGTCTGTTATGCTCACCAAAGCTGCATTTATTTGATCAAAGATACTGTAAAATCAGTAACATTTTGAAATATTATTACAATTTAAAAGAGCTGTTTTCTATGTGATTATATAGTAAACTCTAATTTATTCCTGTGATCAAAGCTGTATTTTCAGCATCATTACTCCAGTCTCCACTGTCACATGATCTTCAGAAATCAGTATAATATGCTGATTTGCTGCTCAAGAAACATTTCTGATTATTATCAGTGTTGAAAACAGTTGTGCTGCCCAATATTTTTTTTTTTGTGGAAACCATTTTTTTTTTTTCAGAATTCATTTAAAATAGAAATATTTTGTAATATTAGAAATGCTTTACTGTCACATTTGATCAATTGGCTGTGTCCTTGCTATATAAAAGTATATCTCTTTCAAATATCCTGGCCTATATGAAGAGAGTATGTCCCTCATTATAGACACAAGAGCTGTTGAGCATCATTCACAAACATATGGCATCTATTACCATCTCTATACATGACTTCAATAAACTTTATGTAATTTTGGCTCTGTTATACCAAAGCCATTGCTAGCTGATGAAGGTGATAGCTGGCGGGTAAATCAGATGAAAGTCTGTGTCCAGTCACCATATCTGATCTGATCTGCCTTCAGCATGTCTGAAGCCACACGAGCAGATGTGTCTGCAATGATCTGTGTTTAAATTAAACAAATAATGAAATGTTGTTGGTTATTCTACTATAATCTCCAGACAAGAACAACTGTAAACACAGATTTTATTAGGCTGGTTAAACCGAGGATGTGTACCTCAGATATAAGCAGATTTCAGCCATAAAAAGTCTGTTTAATAGTCATGACAGACTGTGAGGTCAGGCTGAGGAGGCTTGCAAAGCTTCTGGTGCAGATCTAGTCTGTCTGTGGTCAGATTTCGGTTCATTTGCTTGCTGTAAAAGCGGTTTGCCCAACTCGCCAGAGTGTACCCCTGTGAAAGCATACTTAAAAACAAAAAATGCATACTTTAAAAGCATACTTTAAAAAAAAATGCATTAAAAGAATGTTCTTAAGTGTGAACTGAATGTGAAATCTCCGGACACTTAATTGCATTTTATTTACACTGACATGAAAATGTATTAGAGTTTAAATTTATATTAAATGCAATTAGTTGAACTTTAAAGTGCTTTTGATCCACTTAAGTAGGGCTTCGGAATGTTTACTGCCCAGCATTTATGACAAACACAAATATACTTTAATGGCATTTGAAACTTGTAGGTCATGTTTTTAAATACTAGTAGTAACTACACATTTACAGT